ATCGTTCAACCTTCCCTTCTGGGTTCTGCTTCACAGTAAACACCCACTTACATCCCACTGCTCTTTTCCCTGCTGGCAGTGTCGCTAACTCCCACGTGTGGTTCTTCTCAAGAGCCCCCAGCTCTTCATGCATAGCAGCCTTCCACTTTGGGTCCTTCTTAGCATCCTGCCAGTTGTTAGGTATAATAACAGAATCTAATGATGCAATGAATGCTCCGTGTGAAGGGGATATGTGAGAGTAGGAAACAAATTGATCTAGATCCCAACCATATCTCTTAGGAGGATTTCCCGCATTACTACGAGTAGTCCTCCTTGCTGACATTGGTGTCGGGAGAGAGACAGGAGTAGTGGTATTACCTAGAGTGGAGGATGGAGTAGGTGTCTCAGGAGTTGGAGCAGAGCTGGACAAGGGACTAGGCGCTGGCACTGTCACTGTAGGCACGTCTGGCTCTTTCCCCCTCCTACTGTATGTAAGCAACTTCCCTTGAGCTGTAGGCCTAACACTCATTGTCTCCTCCTCCTCCCCTTCGTCTTCATCCTCATTCTCTACTGAGTACGGGATCGAAATTAGGATTGACCCCCTTGAGCTCTCACCATTCCCTCCCTCTTGCCTCGTGCCTCTAGTATTGGGCAAGTCGCCAAAAGGTGAAGTAATCCCCACTATGTAGTACGGCTCGAGCTCCCAAAACCGCACATCCATGCTGACAAACAGCCTTTTTTCCACCGGACTCCAGCAGACATATCCTTTCTGGGTGCCATTGTAGCCCACGAATATACACTTCGCAGCCCTAGGGTCTAGCTTCCCAACCGATGGTCTGTTGTCCTTCACAAAGCACACACAGCCAAATACCTTGGTCTAGCTTCCCAACCGATGGTCTGTTGTCCTTCACAAAGCACACACAGCCAAATACCTTCAATGGTAAGGCCCCCCTGTTATCCCCCTTCAGTGTCTCACGAGGAGATTTCCACTCCAACACACTCGAAGGCATCCGGTTGATTAAGTAAGCAGCAGTCAAGACTGCTTGTCCCCACAACACTTTTGGGACGTTCATTGCCATCATTATACTCCTATCAACTTCTAGGAGATGTCTGTTCTTCCTCTCTGGTACCCCATTCTGAGCTGGGGTGTATAGGCATGTAGTCTGGTGTAGAATCCCCTGAGCTGACAGATACTCCCCAAGTGTTCTATTAGTGTACTCTGTTCCATTATCCGACCTCAACATTTTTACTGCTGCACAATACTGAGTCTGGATGTGCTTATGAAAATCTTTGAAACAGCCAACTACATCACTTTTGTTTTTCATAAGATACACCCAAGTGACTCTAGAGAAGCAATCAATAAATGTTACAAAAAACTTGCATCCATTTGTAGAATTTACTGGGCAGGGTCCCCATACATCAGAGTGTATTACTTCAAACTTACAAGAACTCCTACTACCAGAACTAACATAAGAGCTTCTAGTCTGCTTCCCAAACTCACAAGCATCACACTGCAACTTCTGTTTATTTACTTTTCCAAACAGAGTTGGATATATTTTACCCAAAATACCGAATGACGGATGTCCCATTCGCTGATGGTAAAGCATCAACTCATCTTCTGCACAGACTTTAGCTCCTCCTATTCCTGTCCTCTCCATCACAAAAGTCAACGCTGATTCTATCCCTTCGCGGTCCAAGTACCACAGCCCGCTACGCCATGTCCCAGTCCCAAGTCTTCACCCTGTCCCTTTCTCCTAAAAAATTACCTTGGGAATGTCAAAAGAAACAATACAATTTAGTTGGATGATAATGGCACTAATGGATAACAGGCTAACAGGAAATGAAGGAGCATGCAGAACATTAGATAAAGTTATAGAACATGTACAACTAACAGTGCCCTTACCAACCACATTCTGTGATGTACCATCAGCAATTTGGATGCTCTCTGCTTCTGCTAAGTGAGTGTAAGATAAGAACTCACTGGAATTGCCTGTCACATGTCTGGATGCTCCAGAATCTATTATCCAGGCGGTGGATCTTCCCTCGTTTGGGTGTGCACTAAGGGCGTAATTGGCATAGTCCACTCCAGTGAAAGTAGTGGATGACTCCTCAGACACATCACCTACTGCTCTCTGCTTCCTCCTCAGTGCTGCCAAGAGAGCCCGATCCTCATCAGTGAAGATCATCTCAGCTTCTTCTTCCCTTTCTGCCACTGTCAAGTTTGCCCGGTGGCCTCCTCTTCTACCTCGCCTGCCTCCACGCCCACGGCCACGGCCTCCAGCCTGACCACGTTCACCCCAGTTCCTCTCCCTGGGTGGCTTAGGGCACATCTGTCTCAGATGCCCTATCTCTCCGCAGTTAAAGCACTTCCTAGTCTCCCCTCTAAATCTAGTGTTATCCGGATTGGATACCACCAGTGCAGACTTCTCCCCTGTAAGTTCACCTGTCCCAGCCTGTAGCCTGATACGGATCTCCTCCTGTATCATAGCCGAGACTGCCTCCTCTAGTGATGGGATCTTCGTCTGGGTTAGTAGCAACGCCGTTCTCTGCTCATACGCTGGAGCCAAGCCTTGAAGAAACAACATAGTCCTCTTCTGCAGAGAGGCCTCGCGTTCCTTGCACCCCGGGTCCTTGCAGCTTGCCAGGGACGAGAAGTGATCGTGATCGAGCCACAAGCGCTCTAGCTCTGTGGCATACTCCTGTACAGTCCTCTCTCCCTGGACTGTAGCGTTGATCTCTTTCTCGATCTGGAATACCCTCAAGTTATTTCCCACCCCATCGTAGGTCCTCCTCAGCTTCTCCCAGACATCATGCACTCTCCCAAGGACATCTACTGTGGCAGCAATTGGCTGGACTACAGAATTCAGAAGCCAGATATACACCAACATATGAGTGGACTTCCACTCATCCCTCCCTGCTGAGTCCTCAGCCGGCTCAATCTTCTCCCCTTTCAGGTATCCTTCTAGGCTCCTCCCAGCAATGGTATATTTCACCCGGCGCGACCAACTCAGATATGTCGCGGGTCCATCAAGTTTTATATCGATAGGTGGAAGCTCCACCTTCTTGGGTTGTGGCTTTCTCGAGCTCTCTCCCGCCGACAACTTCATCAGTTGCATCAGTGTTGAGATCTCCTCAGGATTCAACTTCTTGATGATCCCTTCCATCGGATTTTTGCCAGTCTCCGTCATCGATCCAACTTACTTCTTGATGATCCCTTCCATCGGATTTTTGCCAGTCTCCGTCATCGATCCAACTTATATTTTTGTGTGTAGTAAAAATTTCGGCAGCACTTCGACGGTACCACAAGAAAGATAGATCAACAAAAATTCATGTTTCACCAAGGAAACAAGAGCCAGAAGCAGAATATCTCAACCAAGTGAGATATCAGCTATTCCTCTCATCAGTTCTAGGAGTGACCTGTCGAGGGAACCTAAACAAGCTATTACAATTCGAGAAATAGAAAAAAAGTCATCTAATACATATTACAGATCCCCTTTTTTTTTAATCAGCACGTTTTGGCCATCTTTTCTTCCCTGATCATCTTCTCTTTCCTGCCCCAACAAATCCCCGAATCACCCTAATATTAAAAAACTCCCCCAAAAAAAAGGTTACAGATCCCCTTTATTTCCCTTTTTTTCTTCTTCTATTTCCCCCCAAAACAAAACCCTAATACATATTACAGATCCGAACCCGATCCCAAATCCGAGTCCCAACCCGGATCCAAGCGCCAAGCCGTCCCCTCCTCCGACGACCCCTCGAGATCCTCCTACAGCCGCCCCACGTACGACGGCGCCGCCATCTCCGGCAAGGTCTCAGCGTGCCTCAGTCACCCGCACATCTGGCAACACTCCGTCACCCGTGCCTCCGTGAAGACCTGGAGCTCCGCAACTAGGAGGAGGGGGCGTTTAGGGTCATGGATCGAGACGGGGATGGGAGGATAGGGTTGGAGGACCTGAGGGCGTACTTGGAAATGGCGGGAATGAGGGTGGAGGACGAGGAGGTGAGGGCGATGGTGAGGATGGGCGGCGGCTTTTAGGGTGAACAAGTTAAAAGAGGAGGAGAGCAGCGGCGGCTAGCTCTGATACCATATTGTAATATTAGGGTTTTTCTCCCATGTTCTCATTGATAGAATGTTGGCTTATATAGCCTTACATAACAGGTTTACACAAAGGCCCTCTAAAAGCCCTTTAATTGCGTTCCATTCTCAACAAATTCTCTTATTAGTTTGTAAGAAAGTTAGATTTAGGTTGATGTTTCTATTGTTTAATCTGTGCCTATAATTTTTTTTCCCAGCAAAACAGGCAAAATTGACTCGCGCGTTGCCGCGACATTTGTGTGACGAAATCGAAAAATAATGGTTAACTATCTTGCTTAGAAATTCTTTTTTTTAACTTGTGAATAAAATATTTTTAGTATTTGCAATATAGGTAAATAACGAGAAAAAAAATGGTTTAAGCATTTTGCAGTGCAACCATATTATATTTTGTAGACAATGAAGATCGCATATGTTAAATACAATTATTTGTTTCTAACTCTCTAATATAAATCATCAGTTTGTAACAACAATCATACTTACCCATACAAAACATGAAACAAGAGGGAGTCTTTCTATATTCAGTTTTTCCGGTCACCCTAAGAATAAATTAATCATGCAATATTTCTGTTTGTACGTCTTGATATTAAATATATCAGAAATTAGGTAATTTTATTCAAAAATGAACTCTCGAACAGAAGATATATTTCTAAAATATTATTTTTAAACATTTAGGTCCATCCTAGAGCTCTGAATACACCAGTTCTTATCATTTTTTATTTGCTAGCCAAGGGTTAACCATGACTTAAGCGAGTAAAACTCCTAGGTAGCGTTGAAGCTCACGTTCAATTGCAGGGATAGGTGTGAACCTTTTGTGCTCGCAAAGAAAATGCTCAAATTCTACTATAAACATGTTAGGATCTTCAAAATATGCTGTCTAAGATCACCACCATATCAAAAATTGGACGCAGCTTCAAAAGAGCAAATCGAACTAACAATACAACTCATACTGGAGCGAAACATACAGCTCCAGATTAATTCTCTCGTACAACTGTCTTTTTTATTTTCTATCGACGCATACATACTTGCAAGTATGCACTGAGTCACACTAAACCCCTCTCTTTTCGGATTGCTAGTCGGTATAAAAGTTGATAACCAGAATAAAATCATGATACGCTCATTATACTCAAAAAATTACAGAGACGACTGGCATATTCACAAATCGAACCTCTTCTAATAAACCTATACATAACATCTTAAGGTGTACAAACCTTTTCTTTCCCAGAAAAAGAAAAAAAACAAGAAGCAAAAACTTTCAACCAGGAAAGAAAAAAAGGATAAAAAGAGCCTTTACATCCAGAGTGCTATAATATACACCAAGAGCTCCTGATGCTGCAAAATATCACCAATATCAACCGCATTGGAGATCATCTCACCCTTTTTATTCTCTTCCTATGACTCTAGTCCTTTTGCATGTATATATTACTCACCCAAATATCTCCTTTTGATGTACTCTCCTCTTCATAGCAACAATCTTCTTTATAGAACACCTCCACCTCAAAACAGACACTAATGTCCCCCAGACTGTATTAGCCTTATCACGGGCAGCTGATCTAGCCGACATTGCAAGAAACCCCGTCACTGCAGTCCCCAGATCTGCTGGTGAACCAACAGCAACAAGGCTTGGAGATAACAAATCAGAATCGAGATATTGATGTAAACTGTCTTCTTCGCTAAAGAGTAATGTTTGACTTTCTATACATTCATCCAGCATCAGAGGGTTAGAGATTGTCTCTAACTCTGCTCCCGAGCTCCCTCTAAAGATATCGTCAGGCGGAGGACAAAAACCGAAGCTTCCGATATTGGCAGGACTTGGGCAATAAATGTTATCTTGAAAAGGGTGTCTGTTGCTCTCAGTAGTGAAGGAACTTGGAAGGGCGCCCATGTTCAAAGGGCTGTTACCAACGTTGTTATAGACTACAACATCGTTCCAATGCTCCAATGCGAGTTTTACGAGATTATGTGCATCTGCCTAATAGATGGAAAATCTCGCATGATAGGTCTTCACATATTTAACAAAAGGATCAAACAAAAACAGAGATATAACAAACCTTTTGAACCTCAGAGAGATCATTAACAGAGATGAACTGGTGTTGCAACAAGAGGCCCATCACTTCTCCCACTACATTGAATACAACGCCGGTTTCAGAATTTCTTTCTGGACTGCAATTTGCAAAGTAGACGTGCATCTGATTTGGGACTATACAAGTCCGAGCATGTTCAATAGTAGCATCCCACATCTTAGCTGACATGCCGTTGCCCAGAATCTGCACAGGAGCAAGGTGTGAACATTTTCTGCATGTGAGATGGCATATTAGAAAATAATGCACATAAACCAAGAGTGGGTCAATACATTTCGGAGCCTTGGGGCATCTGTGGAGAGTAGGGTCAAGAAATCTTTCACGTAGTTGATATTCTCACTGCTCAGTCGCTTGTGGAAAGCACCATCCTTTCCGATTTTCTCCAGGCGCCATACCTCATCCCACAGTAGTGGAGGATAGTGCTTCTTATACACTGCATTTCAGGAAAAAAGAAAAAGGAAAAAAAAAGAAAAAAAATTATAAGGTAAGTGCCTCTCCTCAATCTTAATGACATTGATTAATGCAATATAAAACAAGAAATGATGCTTCCCGCTTATTTCTTTCTGTTACTGATGCCTAACATGTCAGGAGCAGATTTTTGCAGTTTTTTTATGACTGCGCTGGACTGTCAAACTCTTCCTGTTAGGTTCACTTGTATTGTTTATTATGTTACATTTTCTTAAGATTTTGCACGAAATGGTTTTCTGACACTGAAACTCAAGAGGTTAACAAAATGGGGAACATGATCAACAAAAAGCTATTTACCAGGAACAAAATGATGAAGGGATTAAATATTTCCAAAAGAATGGTAGAGGTGTTTCTTTTATAAACTACAAGAATATTAGATTCATCAAGACAACCAGAAAAAAAGTGATTGTGTGACTAAAGATTTGTGCAACTTCAAATAAAGCGTAGAGCAATAATCCAGCTGTGCTTCAACTTCTTGCATAGAGGATCCTTGCAATCCTGACAGATAAGTTCACTTAAGTAAAAAAATAAAATAAAAAATTTCTGCTTCATCTTCTTCAGACTCTAATTAGGCACCTAAAGGAAAGGTAGGACTTATTAATCGAATGCTGAACCATATTATTTGTTGATGGTCACATAAGGGATGCAAATTAAAAAGCTTATTTGGGTGATATGATTAACGGCTCAGAAAATTACAGAAGAAATTTGTGTCTTACCAACTGCCAAAAATTTCTAAAAGTATTGAACCACTCAAATCAAAGAATGTGCAAAACTGACCATCTTTTGAAGGAAACAAGCCTGGAATGAATTCAATAAAACTAAAGAGGAGTTTATCGGCTTAAAGGAGATGAAATATAAGCCACAGGTTCACTTTTCACCTCACAAAAAGTCATACACGAAAGTTTGATAAAGCTTCAGTCCTAAGAAGTAAATTATGTTTGCCATGTTCTCTACTCCTTTCAAAAAAGACATCCAATATAACAGAAGACTGTTTTGAGTTCTCCAATTACATAATTCACTACTATGACTTATTATTATTATTATCATTACTATCTTTTCTTTTTTCTTTTGAGATAGATAATTTGATATACGGATTAAGTGATGTGCCTGGTTTTTTTAAAAGAAATAAACAAATCACATTGGGGAAATAACTCTATTCTTCATCTTAAATAAAAATATTGTGTCATTGACAATAATATCTGGTTATCATAACAAACAAACTACAGAAGATCTTGTGGGCAATCAGCTACAAAAGCCTTTCTTCATTTAAAAACATCTTTGCTCTGCTTGACACTATTGAAGACTAGCAAACACAGATAGGAAACACAATCTCCCAAATCTGGGAGTGCAGACTAATGTTTTATTTCATCCTTAAAGTTTGAATGTAATTCCTCATAGGTCATAGCAAATCCATCATCCTCCACTTTTTCTAGAGTCTTAGCATGGGTGACTTGAACTTTGCTCCACTGCGAAAGCTTAAATCATGTGACCAGTAAGGCATGTTTCAAGAAGGTATCTCTTCACTAGTATGGCAATTCATTGTACTGTCTATAAGTTCATTATACTCTCTAGTATAGTAGTATGGCAAAAGTTTAACTTTTGGTAGACAGCTTTCACCCTGCTGGTGAAGAATAGCTTTTACCTACAGAAACCCTTCTCATGATTCTTTGGGGAGCATCGCATTCTGTTTTTGCATTCTAATATAATAGCTTCACTAAACATTTGGGAAGCCATTTCTTAATCTATTATCTTATTTGGGTAACTAAACAAATGATATTACTAGCTAGTATGCTGTGTCTAAAAACACACCAACCAAATCTAACAAATATATGGCTATGTAGTTTGATTTCCACAGCATTACTATTGGCTTCTACAATAACATTATCAGCAATGGCTATGACTTCCAAAGCATCACAAAAGGCCTAGAATGGTTCCTTAGCAGACAAATGTTTCGAAAATATTCTAAGAATCTAGTAGTGCTTAGTTAACAAACAAACTGTAAATAAATATCATTTTCATACTGTTATGATATCACGAATCCCAAGTGTGAATAGTTAGTGGCGTAAATAGGTAAGCCTAAGGCTCAAGTGTAACATCGGCTAGTCGATTTTGGCAGTGGTTTGAGCCAAACAATACAGTACACTCGGTGGGTCCCACGGCCTGCACCGAACCAACGGGCCCGGGGGCCCCAGGCGTGACACTTTTCTTACACAAATGACCAAATGACATCAATAAATTATAAGATATAATAACTGAAACAGACAAAGAAAAATGACAAATAGAGGATAGCCACTAGTTTTTGTTTTATATATATTTTTAATCCCTTTTTTTATGTAAAAAGTATTCCATTTAATGCACAATTTACACACCTATTTCACTATACATACATACATGCAATAAAAATCTGAAACAAGAACACGCTTAGTAAAACAACAATGGTGAGGAGCAAACAAATTCTCAAGGTTAAAAGAAAAAGAGCTGATAGTGGAACAGATATTTTAATATAGTACATTGACATTCGTAAATTGCATTTTGCCAACAGTAGTACAATGCATGGCACCATGAAAAGCTAAAGTATATACAGTAACAAAATAACATAATCTATAACCAATCTAAAAATCATGAGAAAGAACATATGGCCAAAGTTTAAATACTCACATTCTCCACGATGATCCTTAACCATGAACGCCTCAGTCCTGGCTTCTCTTACTCTAACTCCATTGAAGTAACCATCAACTACCCTTGCCCCTAGCCTGAATTTGCGACTCCTTGTCCAACTAGAGTTATCAGTAAATGAAATTTCCCCAACTATGCCAACCCCTTCATTGAGTTCCAGAAACAGATCGCCAGTGAGTAATGATCTCTTGCCTTCCCTTTCTCTAACTACATTGTTATTGAATTCCTCAAAGGTCCAATTATCCTCTTCGCTGCCTTCAAAATCTCCTTCTAGGACAATCACTTCAATCTTCATCGAGGACTCTGAACCTGACTCAACAATTTGACCAGTCAAACTATCCACTAATGCAATACTTATTGCACTAGATTCCTCTCCTTCAATTTTAGTGCCCGTGAATATTGGAAGAGAAAGCTTGTTTCTGAATTGTAGCTGTAAAGTTCGTGAAGTAGATGGATATACTTGTTTTTCAGATTGTCTGTATGATAATAAGAATATTAATTAAAGATGAGACCTTTCCTCTAAATTATTTCGAGACCAAGATGTATCCGTACAAAGATACATCAAATTTATTCTCACCGTGTCAAGCTAGCTAAATGGTTTGCTAGAGCCAACTCAACTTCTTCTTTTACCTGTTGAGAAAAACAGTAGATCATGAATACTCTTCCCATGCCAAGCCCATGAACTTTCTGAGGAGAAATGAGTACATAAAAATTATACAAAGTAAAACAATCTGCTAGGGGCAAGTTGGTAAGTTGTTGGACCATAGCAAGAGTGGTCATAGGTTCAAGACTCGAGTAGTGTGAATGAAGTAGGAATTTTCTCCCCGGTTAGGAGGATGAAATGGTGATTCACCACCTTTTACACTCAAAATGAATACTCAAAATTCCAATCCAGAAACTTTCTTTTTATTACAGAATCAATTATTATCTCTCACTAGATCAAATGATATCCTATTTGAAAAAGACAGAGGCTTAACCATCATTGGTATCCCAAATATTGATTGAAAAATACTAGTTTCATACTTATATTTTGTAAAGGACAGTTTCATACTTCTACTTTGTAAAGGACAGTCCGTATGAACATACAACATTAATCACTAAACTGGAACAGCATAAACTCTATAGTTGGCAATGCATAACAATAATCCACAACAGTATTTACATTTCACCCAAAACATAGCAGGCTTGAATACTTAACACAATAAATCACATTGGTTTAAGGCCTGCACAGACCACACTTTCTATTTATAGACTTTAAACCTTCTAGGTGTTCTTTGAAATAATTAATGCAATTGTCTAGTTCATGATATAAGCTACTCTCCTGTGATAAAGATATGCAATGTTGCTTGCAGTGTTTGAAACTATGGAACCAGAATATTATAAGATGGATGTAGTCCCACATTGGAGTATACTATTGATAGTTCTTAACAGTACATGTGTCATATAAACCTTTTAGCATAACTGAAGCCTTGGAAAAGACAATGTATGTAACAGAGTATCCATAAGGCACTCTACTAGTTGCCATTATTAAAAAAATATCAAATCATGCTTGAAAACAGGTTCCTAATACATTATGATTTTGGCATTACTTTTTCAAACTTTACCTTTTTGGCTAATAAAGTAATATCTATGCTAGCATGTAACTTTTTGAATATAATTCATAGTATCTACTTAAATGTGTTCATGCTTCTGGAGATTGAGATTATTAAAAAAAACTGAACATGGTGTAGAAGATATAACATATTCATTTATTGCCATATACCAACATACATATTCTAGTTTTTCAATATACATAATTATTTCCATGGACCTAGAATAGAATATTCTTGTACAAGTATACCATGCCACATTAACCTTTTTAATTTTTAATATTTTGTGGTTAAGATAAAACTTATTTTCCTAACCTCAAGTTATTGTATGTCTTCAATTACTGCCTCACGCAAACTTGGCGCAGCATGGTCTTCATATTTCTGCATTTTTACATGTGCTTGCAGTTATTCTTTATTTTCTTTTTTGTTTGGGGGTGGGGGGGGG